TTTTAACAGCTACGAGCGTCTAATAGACTTGTCAAGCACTTATCTTATATTTTCAACGTTTACTGGAATCGAGTATCGTTTCCAATTGATTTACAAGGCGTCTCGWAGTCTCGCTCYTCRGTTGSTTCTGCACGTCTCATGTATTCGCTTTTTAACCGYTATTTACGTACGTCTTTGAATCCCTTTTCAAATATCGTGTAATAAAAATCCACCCRAAGCATCGGTTTTTCAAATTATYAAATCATAATATGCCCACCCGAAATATCTTTCAAGGGCATTTATAAGATAGGCCTAAATGTATACCACGATTAAACTAATCCACATACCATTCAAATGGTTTATAACAAAGAACCATATTTATCAAAGTGTCTTAGCTAGAATATAAACTCCTTTAGAACGCACGTCCGCCTTCTTCTGGGAAGTAGACATTTGCCGACAGTAGCACATTTGTGCGGGAGTAGAAGGGCCATCAAAAATCCAATGCTCTTGGAGGTCTTGAGTGAAGTTACAAGAAATATAGGGAAGAAAAAACAGAAAGTGTCCATATACCGTTTTARAGCCGCTTAAATCTAGATAGGGGGCCTCTACAGATAGCAATTAAATGTGTTACATGTAGCTCAACTTCATCAATGCGATTTCACCGCAATATTTGAAGCTTAATTCAGTTAGCGAGAAAACTGTGTTATAGTTATGTTTTCGTGAATGAATACATTCGAATGCTTTATAGACGTTTAGGCGCTATATATTTAGCGCGGTACGTTTGGCATATTCAAACGTGGCGTCGGCCACAAAGCAGCGTTTTGGTAGAGTTTTGTATAAATCTTCGGTGAAGGAAATGAACTCAGTAAAAACGCTTCTAGAAAACGAATTCTGTGGACGAGAAATAAGCTATCATCAAGGATATTTGACGATTTGATTCAGTGACTCACGGTGTATGCTGATCAATGTGAAAAACGCGTGTTGAGATATCGTATTACTACATTAATCTCTTCGCTCCATCTTAACTGTCAATTATCCTTTTTCAAAAAATATTAGTGGTGTCGAGAAAGTACTGTCAGATATTGGGAAAAGTGATTGTGGGGTTCTTAAGAAGTGCTTTTATAAAGCTCAGTATAGTGAGTGTATCCGTCGGCGAATAAGTCAAGGGAGGATAATACGATCTAAGCATAATTGGTTTGAGTGGCTGGGGGATTTAACTTTAATAGCTTTTAGTTTGTAATTATAGGCGAATTAATTGAGTATTAAAAATAAACTCTGACTGCCTWTTTTAMTTTGTTGATAGCCGTTCATCATTTAAAGGATCAAAATCATCCTGGATGCTTTGCGCGCCTTGTCATACCTTCGTCATACACGAAATTGTGTGGCTATTTTTTTTTTAGTTTGAATAAAATTGACTTAATAATATATAAAGGTGGGAACTAGCGGTGAACTAGTGTGAGCTGCGTCGGTGTTTCTAAAGAAACAGTTATGTAAAAAGATAAATTKAACACCGTAAAAAAGTATGTGGAATAACTTACTGACGTTTCGGATGTTAATCCTTCGTCTGAGTAAAGAGCTCTTTACTCCGACGAAGGATTAACATCCGAAACGTCAGTCTCTTTACTCCGACGAAGGATTAACATCCGAAACGTCAGTAAGTTATTCCACATACTTTTTTACGGTGTTAAATTTATCTTTTTACATAACTGTTTAATAATATATACACAGAAAACTCAAACAACAAAAGTTGGATGGCTTAAGGGCCGACCAATCAAAAACAAACAGTCGCAAAGCATCCAGGGTGATATTGGTCCTTCAAAGTGTGCAAATAAAGTTGTTGTATGGCAAAGTATGACATAGTTTAAATTTTTATGGGCTACCTGTGTTAGTACAACAGGGATCCCACAACAAAAAACTGCTATGTACGTCATTTACTTAAATTTTTTGTTTGCAATATAATAAATCTGCAACGATTCCTCAAAATAAAGAAAAGTTTAATGGATCAAAAGAAAATGCTAATTAGTATGGCGGACAGTCCGCCGGACCTCGAGACCCGATCAATGAGGTGGTTTTTACTTAAAACGTCAAAAAAAACATGTCTAATGAAAGTCAGCTTACCTTTCAACTTTTTCATGACGCAATAAGCCTAGAAATCTTTAAATAGGAGTTACCAGTCCGGAGAAAATCGACAATTCACGGTGCACAACAAACAATCGATGCAAAAATCCCGCCAAAACATCAAGCGTGTCAATACAAGTGATCAGCGGCAAAGTGAGACATGCGCAAAGCTTCAAGAGATATTCAAAATGGCGGAAAAACATTKAAAACTATGTTGTTGGTCTTATTTGACGATATAAATATCTTGGAATGACATAAAGTGATGTAAAACCTCCAAAGAAAAGTTCATACTGATGTATTCTCCAAAGAAATGTGGAATCAAGTTCGATCCGCCGACTCTRGTGATATTTTACGAGGAAGARTCTTCAGGTCAGTGCAAAACTTTAAGCTTAAGTCTTGTAAACCAAAGGTTGTTTGTTCACGAGAGATTCTGAGTACATCTTAGATTGCKGCAAAGTRTTGTATTGCTCGGAAAGCTCTTTTATTGAAGAACAGCAAAGTCACGGCYAAWCTAAATCTCAATGAAGCTGAAAAGTTCTGTAAAACTCTGCATTATGATGTTGTATTCATTCTTGGTTTTGTAGGTAAATTACATCGAAGATCCATTCCTATCAGAAAGTTTGACAAAGATTCAGAGTAAGGATAGTTATAAACATAAAATAATATCTATTTGTAATATTTAGTTCTAGTAATATTTACTCCTAGAAAGACAATGATTGAAGGATACATTATAAAGCAGTTATTAACAATTTATCATATCCTGCAATCATGTAAACGCATAGCTTTATTTCTACCTCTGTAAATTGCCTTGATAACCTTTAAAATCAAGATGCAATGTAGATATAACTTTTGTTGAGCTGGAGTGAASTGCGTCAGTGTTTCCAAAGAAACAACTGTGATAAAARGGAKACTTGYACACTATTAAAGATAGAAAGATTAYTTATATTTCAGATATTGGTTCTTTTGGATTCTGTTTTTGAAGGCCAGTCTTATTAACATTAATCCAGGCTTAACTCCTTTGATTTTGTAGGAGTCATTCTTGCATTAATGTTTATCAAACTTTGAACAACAGAGGACCAATGCCCAAAGCGTCTTTAAGTTTCCCTTCCTATGTTTATAATAATTTGTGTTTTCATCAAAGCTGTTGTGTTTATATTTCACATTTGAGGTGATGACTTGAACTACTTCAGTATTTCAGAAACTGCAAATAGTTTGAAGAAAAGTAGTCACCATTTAAAGTATTTGGAAAACATTTCTCATCAACAGGTACGCTATGAATACAAATCTAGGTGCATCTAATTGCAAGATTGTTGTCATACAAAACTTAAAACATTTTAATGTTTATATATAATGTTTTTATATCTTAAAAGATAACACTAGCTTTACCCTTTTTTTCTAGTAATATATTCCTTCAATTTTTCTATATATTACAACAATCTTGCCWTTAAGYGTGTACCTATAAATGAAAAMACWCTGCAATAAAGAGAGAGCAGAAMATTATTTTGTACTTTAGTAAAAAGGAATACAATCAAAAGGCAAGATCTTTTTACCAAAGACAGATGTTAAAAGACAGATTTCTTAATGAATGTTTTTGCAATAACATTATCTACAAAATAGTTAAACAATAGATAGATAAAGATTATAAACTAATACTCTAATATAGAATAATAGATTAATAGAAAAATGAATAGATTTTATTCATTGTCATTCCTGGAATCACTTTTTGTTTGCTTGCTCAGAAGTCCTCACATTGCAAAATAATCCTGCTGAAYGAGACTTTTTTCAAATGCAGTARCACAAACGTTCTTTGTCATACAATKAAKWKAGMWAKSARYRRGMARRWRARWKWGRWKG